GGCGATAAGAAGTCACTCTAGCGTCCCGGTCTAAATGCACTGATAAGAAGTTGAGAGGTGTCGGTTTGCCACTTTAATCCACGCGGTTTGCGTGTATTGCGAAAAGTAGTATTTACAGAGTAATAGCAAAGGGGTCGGTTTGCCTCCTTTGCCCGAGACAGTTTGCTCGTTTATACTTGCTGTAGACTAGCTAAACGTTAATAGCAGAATACCTCGAGTCTGATTTTAGTGTCTTTATATTATCCTGAGATTGTGGACGAGGTGGCCTGAGGAGTGTGGCATTCACACGCGTCACGCTGCCTATTTAATATTATTGTTTATACGTATAAGGTTATTCAGGTAAACCAAGTTCTATATTGGCGATCTGTATTATTAACAATGTATACGTTACAATATATGAAATGACGGAAAACATACACACATATATCCATCCAATTACGTATGCTAATGTATTAATAGTCGTTTTTAAGAAAGCTAAGACACGTGGACATTATATACAATTAGTTCATTCGAAATATTAAAAGATAACAGTACAAAAGTAAATATATAAATTAAGCTGTGGCGTTACTTAGAATGGAGACTACATAGATGTTCATAAGTGTCTATAACAATGCCGGATAAATCCTCGTCAATATACATATAATGGTGGTTATGTGTTAAGCCTATCAATCCAAATAGCCTCCACCAGATATATGCACCGTAAAATCGTAACAAGTCCAAGCCTCGCTTGAACCTGTCACCGGGTACTTTTAACTGTTAACAAACAAAATAATAAAATTTATAATCTATGTAGGATTACTTATTTGACACGGTATATATAATATTACCTGCGATTAGGTAGCGCGAACGTCTAACCCGATTGATGGTCTCTAGGCGAAATTAAAGAGATATGCGATGACTTTGCGAGAGGTGGCATACCGATACGCTAGATGTTACCCTAGTAATTCGCTGGAGAGACCATAACGGTAAATTTGAATACTGTGAAGTACAGAATAGTACCGGTTTACAAACCATTAGATTTGAAAATAACTTCCATAAATTCCCATCATTCAAATGCAGAGACCAAGTTGAACTTTAGTTCAACTGTAGTAAAACAGAATCTCCGCCAACAAGGAGAAACTGATAAACAACCATAAATGCGGTTAAAATATTATAAGGACGCTTCAGAGAAAGTGAAAACCCCTAAAAATGTAACTTATATGTCACACGGAACTGTATGTAGTTAACTCTCCATAAAACTATCTCTTCAGTACGACCATAAACGATGATGGAGGATGTCGATAAATCCAAAAATGCTAGTGGCTACGGATTGACGAAAGAATTCTGCTTATTGACAAGAAAAGACATACCTTAAGTGGGAGACAGCGCTGAATGTGAGTTGGAAGACAGGGAGCATATACACTTAGATCATCCGAGTTCATCATCCTATTGTGACATAACGTTTCGAATGATTGGGAAGCAAATAAGCCTATACTATAACTGCGGGAGAAATTCAATATTAACCCTGAAGTACACATGTGAAGTCTCACAGACCTTACCGATTTTATGATTAGTTATCATGTCGGTTGATTTATATGTAAATTTTCAATAAACGAAAAAAACCTTATTACATAATTATTACTGGATACCTAGTCGTTAAACTCGTTTAAACTAAGCGGAGAAAATGTGAAACTCTACCATTGAGCTATTCTGTTTGTCGTAATGGTCTTCTATGTAGTAGAGTATGTTTCTGAAGTCAGTTCTGCGTAGTTAAGGGTTAAACAAGATAGCTAGCCAAAAGGCAAAATATAGAACGCAAATCGTATTAACCCAAGCAACAATTACCAATGCTCAATCACGATTGACTAACGGTCCAAGTTTAGAACAATCTCAGGTGCAAAGTCTTGATTTCTAATGGTGGAACAAGATTTGTACAAGCTTAGAAAAACCTTGGTCCAACGTCGGCACGAAATGGAGTTCGTATGAATACATTAAGTCGCAGCGAGATCTTGAACAAATGTTGGTTTGAGGCTCAGGGTTAAGTTTACGTTATAATATTTACTTGTATTTTATTGCAGTGTATTAATAAATCTTATTTTATTGGCAGATATAGTTGGTCTAAGAGTTGAATGTGTTTTCTTTTCAATTCTCAAGCAATGTAATGCTTAGCAAATCACACATATTTTCAATAAAATAAGGTAAATACATGCAAAAATATATTTAGTGCACAACCATACATATGCATAATTTATAACAAATATTTTACGCAGTGACACGTTTGCCTTACTAGGGACTTCATCGTTTTTGATCTGGTAACAAAAATACATCGAAGTCGTGGACCGATTATATGTGTGTACACTTTCTATACTGTATGCGTGTTAAAAATGATATCTTGTGAAAAATTTCATTCATTAAAAACTTTTCTGATAATAAGAGCCCAAATGAAGACCTGTACTTAAATTAGTTGAAACATAATAAGGTTAAAACTTGTGTTTCAAATAACCCAGTGCTCAAGCAGAGCAATTGCCAACTCGAGAGGTCCGAGGTTCAAATCCATCATTAGAAGGAAAACTTTAAGTCGTGGGTAAAGTTAAAATGGTAAATAAAGGTGTCCCGAGTACGAAAAAGTCTTGAATACGAGACAAGAACAAAAAACAAATGCTTCGAAATTAAATATTTATTTTTTATCTATCATATTAATGTTATTAGACCAAGTCTGGCAATCAATCCTGGCCGGAGCATCGCCCAATCATCACTTGCCAATATTATACCGACTGACCTGATTCTCCATTGTTGGCTGGAAAGTAGCTAAAAAAAGCGAGACATAAGCCTGTAGTTATGAGTGATAATTTGTTTGTTTGTGTGATACGGTCTTTTTAATTGAATTTTTTTTATTGCATCGCAAAGAAAAGCCAAGTGGAAAGTGTTGTGTACCGTCCTGTAAGTCTAGAAAAATCATACAAATTTAAGTTTTCATATAATCCTTCGACTGAACAATGGCCGTGTAGAGTCTTGAATTATATTTCGAGAGGTTATCGTTGCACTTGCAAACTTGAAAATCGCATCTAATCGTAATGTCATAGGCACGCTTAGATTTGTTTTCTTTCGTTCCTCCCGGTTTCAGCCTAGGAGATTGTCGCGCTTAACCAGCCAGGAATAGATTCTGTGCTTTCCTCTAACTGTCATGTAATATTATTTTCGAAATGTAATATTGTGCTTAGTCTAACGTTTCGGTGACCCTGGAGAACTCGTCGATGGATCGGGTGGGAGGACCTACTAGCGCACAGACCAACTGAACACAAATGACTTTTTACTGCAAATTCTATCCACTTTTAAATAGATGGAATAGAATTAGGTACGAACGATGTCTTATTATAGTATATTTTATGTGGTTTAACATTAGTTTACGCTAGATTTGGTTAGGTAAGGTTAGGATAGGTAGGAATGTTCAAATTTCGGAGACTAGGTGGGTTAATGGATAAGTATATCGTCAACGAACGAGCGATGCGAGCGAGTCCGACTGAAGAGAGCATTAAACGTTTGAAAAGATTTCCTCAGATAAAGATAACTTACACTATTGTTGAATTACTGATGGAATATCGCTCAGGAGGCGGAAATTCGCATTTGTGACCAATTGGGTTTGTGCGCAACTCAGCATTCTTGTGTTACCTTTTCGTCGTACCTTGTCGCGTTTTTATTGTTTCTTACCATTACGTTAACTTTTTTGATTTTGTAGCCTCTATTTTTTATCTTTCCGCATAACGTATCTTATAGTATTAATTTTAAAGTCTAGTCTCGATAGTATAGAAAATTCTGAGCATTAAACCTCACGCGGTTGCATTGGTGTATCGTGACTAAAGATTGTCTTTCACAGCGGAGTCTCATATTTTTCTGAATAATGTTCGCGATTATATTTTCGGGTATCTTAGGAATTATTTCATGTTTCTCGCAGAAGACCTTGTATAGCGTGTTGTTTATTTTGTACCTTGTGATCTTTAATTCTGTTTTTGTTTCTCGTATTTCTTAATATTGTTAATTTGATCAAGTCCCGCGTAAAGGGAGATATTTGTTATTTTGTTATCGTTATCAAAAATTAGAGGATTCTCAATTTTCTTTCTCTCAATCTTTTTCCCCTCATGTAACATCTGCACTGATCCTGCCTCTCTATCATATCTGTCCGTTCCGTTCCTGCTAGTCGGACCTCTTCTTCTATTTTTACGGGGAGTTTCTTTACTTATTGTGACGCAACGGTGCTCTGGCGCCCATAAGGCATTTCGCGAATTCTAGCCTCCTTTGTTCCGCGTAGTCTCGGAAAATTTGAGAAAGAGTAATCTGTCATTTGTGCCAAAAAATCAGTTCTCGTATCTTTTTCTTATCTTTTTCGCTTTTTCATCACTTCATCAGTATATTAAACATATGTCACTGCGATATATCTAATGAATAATAAGGATGTATGATATCACATCCCATAGTAGGGAAATAAGATTTTGTCGTTGTTGGGTCCTTCCTTTCTTTCCTCTACGGCTGTGTCCCCAATGGGGGACATGTGACAATAACTGATCTTATATAGTCAAGGTTGGAAGTTTAAACCTAGATAACGATGTATTTCGCAAGACGGGGCTTACATGTGTTAGGTGTAAAAATTAATTTTCGACCTTTTTTGCATCATTTTGATGTTTATCTACAAAAAAAAAGACGAACAATCACCTAACCTTAAAAACAATTCTCATTATTTTCTACATATTTCCGCTATCTCTCAAACAACTGTCGTATCTCACTTCGAAAAAGGTCGGTTTTTTTCTGAAGATTGAAATTTCCAACCTTAAACCTTTGAAACCACACTTTATACGTACTATAAGATACAATCAGGTGAAAAAAAAAATCATTTCCTTAGCTCCTGCAGCATTTTTCTTCAGTTGGAATACGAAAAGATGGCAGTGTTTAAAATATTACTTTTTAAATAACATCACTTTCATTACTGTTTTTTGATATTATATCAAGAACACTGTCAACTAATATACCTCATTTCAAAGCTTAAGGATGGCGCTTCAAAGTTGTATGTATCAACATCCAACAGAGTTTCAAGTAGTGTTCTGTACACGCTCAATAGAGCTGTTTTTTCTTCATCATTTGATATTGATTCCAAATTCTGTCCCTGAGACTGAATAGTAGTTTCAAGAATATTGACACAGTTATCAAAGCGTTCCATTTCTCGTTCAATCAATGCATATTCTCTGTAGAAATGTAGATTATTTCTGTTCTCATCCTTTTTCAGAAACTCTTTTAAACTAGTTTTTAATTTCTTCCTCCTAAAATAAAATTAAAAAATTCATGAGTGTTATCCTATAAATGACTAACAGGTTACTCAAAATTTAATAACTTATACCTGCTGTCATTCTTGAGAGGATCAGTTTTACTGAAAAATACAAGAAGCCGTTCAAACCGTAACCACCACACATAAATACTTGTACGCTGCGACGTTTGTAGATTTTCAGCGATTACTTTAAATGCGTCTCGTATAAAATCTAAGTATGGTTCTTGAGCTGGATGAAATCGTAAATATTGGGGACCGGATGTTAATCTTCCCTCAAGTATGCCGCCCAAGAGAGCCTTTCGTTGTGTATGAGCAGCCATGACTCCTATTGAAGGATATGCTAATGGCAATAGCATCTCCAAAGATTCACCACTCCAATCAAAGTCTTTAATCGCCAAGTCCTGTAAATTTGACTGTGCTACACTAATTGTCAGACAAGAATACAGCAAAGGTATAAGTAAACATACCTGTAATATCGAATCTCGAGTAGGTAGAAGAGGAACTTTTAATGACATAAGAGAATAAATTGCCAACCGGAAATTTGATTGCATCGAAACCATTGGATGAACAAAATCTGCCACATCTTCTGGGAGAACAAATCGACGAGAATCACCAACTAATTCTAATTCATCGCTACTCACACTGAGCCAGTGACATCGTTCTCTTAGAGACTCAACTCGCAGCCATAACTGATTTAATGGTAATCTGGACGTTAATACCACTTCTTCCATGCCAACTAGAAAAAAGTTTTTCATGAGTAATAGGAAAAATAAGAAGCAGAGAAATATACAAGATTCCAGTAAGTTCACTTACTAAGGCAGGGAAAGGCAGGCAGGGAAAAAATTAAAGGCAGGGAAAAAATTAAAACTTGAATAGGCGTCGTCAATATTAAATTTTGGGGCCGAGAATTAATTTTTACGCCTAATAATTTGAATCCAAATAGTGTTGGGCGAAATTCATATTATTACTCACTTAGATTTTCTTATGAAAACCCATTAGTGAATGCCGCTGAAAGCTCGGCGCGAAAACTCCGAACCTTTCGGTCATGAACCCGGTATCCTAACCACTGGGCTACGGTCGTTCCGCGACGTTCGGACCAACTTTGTATGTTAATTGTGATGATTACCCGCTGTCGGTAAGAGCTTGGTGAGGCCTAGTGGGCCTACATGGGGGGAGAGGAAGTATTAAAAACAAGATGGCTTCCAATGAGTATCGTCTGTAAGAATCCCTGGTAAAATAAATGAAAGGCAAGAAGAGTTTTCTCGCGTTTTGTTAATTAACGCAGATCACATTAGCTTTAGAAAGGCTGTGATCGTCAAATTGTGGCGACCGTGATAGGATTTAAGAATGATTACTAGTAATTTGCTGTGGGTACGCGTAGTATACGATACAATGGCAAGCGCTACGTTTAAAAGACTCCAAAAGACCAGGAAAACTATTCTTATTTTTGAAAGCTAAGTTTCTGAATTTTTTAATTAGTTTTGTAAAGGACTGTACAAGTTTAAAAAGAAATTTTCTTTTGAAACTGGTTACCCCCTCCCTCTCTACTAACCGACGGGTTCGGTTTTCCGGAGAGTCTTTTGTTCGCATCTATTAGTGTTGTTACGCCAAGCGGACCCTTCGCTCAGTGCAACACATTTTCTCGTTACTGGTTACTTTTACACTGTATACAATTTTTTAATTTGTTGCCCGAAGCATTATGAAATAAAAAATTTAACCGTATGTGCCTACTACGCAACTGAACCAGACGAAGAATGAAAATTATATCTCTCTTAATTAATTAATATTAGTTCCATAAATGTTTCATTTTTAATGCAATAAAACTGCATATGGGAATACCTCCTAATGAAGTCTTAATTTTAGTTTACAAGGTTTATTAATTAGATAAGGCACATAACATTTGTCGAGGATGAGTTGTATCACAAACGACTTTTCAATTTGACAGACTTATAATGACTGTCTTAGTGCAGCAATTTCTCGCTCGACCCTAGCGCTCACAGTTTTCTCAAGTTTTGCCTCAGATGGCGCTTCGACAAACATTAACGCAAACTTTCAAATCAAATTTTAAAACATAAAATTGAGATATAAGATTAACATTATAAAATTCCTAAAAGCATAAAATTTAACATTAAACATTTTATTAACACCATTTCATAAGACACGATTTGAAGAATTCACATATAGAATTTATTTATTGGCTCAAAATTAACCCATTTTAGTACTCCCTTACAAAAATAATGTTCTGGCCCTACGAGGGTTAATTAAGGATCTTGATCAAGAAAATCCTATAACTGAAGAAGTACAAGTAAGTTTTCAATTGTTTGAGAGAAAAGTGTTAGAACTCAAAATAGTAGATTAGAAGATAATGGACGCCATAATAGACACAGAAACAGAAGATAAAGACTGCGACGCACAGTACTACGACTCGACAATCGAATGTTCCAGAAATTACTTACGGGTGAAGATAGAGGTCTCAAAAGTTATCTATAGATGGAGCATGCCACAACAAACGGCGTTATCAGATGATACAGAAATAAATAAGTCACATAAACAAAATTTCGAAGAAGATTTGAACAGCAGAGAATTGAGCTTCAATGGAGAAATAAAAGATTCGTGATAATTCTGGAGTCAATTTAGAGAAAATACATGAAAATAAACACATTACTGATGAAGATAAGTTTCAATATTTAATACAGACCTAGAGCAGCGGAACTAGTAAATAATTTTCCACCAACGAGTGGTGATTACTAGAAAGTGGTTATTAATCTAAAATATCGTCTCGCAAAAGACGAGTAGTCAGTACAGGTCTACGTGAGAGAGTTATTGAAACTAGTGCTTAAGAATGCAATGCAGCATAACGAAAAGATAAGCTAAAATTACGTTTACATGTTCTTGAATCACTGAGTTCGACTAAAGACAAATGTGTAGCCATGCAATATCCATTAGTGGAATCATCGCTTCCAGAAGACCTGTTACGAGCCTGGCAAAGATTTGATAGCACGCTCAAGGCTAATGAACTTCAATATAGGTTAACAAAGCTCATGGAATTTTTACAAGCAGAAGTAGAGAATAAAGGGAGAATTTTCATGGCTGTGGGTGGATTTAGCCTAAATATGGAAAAAGCAGCAAATGAAGAAAAACCAAAAAAAAGAAGAACAAACATAAATGCAACAATGATATTCTGACCGCAGCAGAACTGTTTACAGCAAAAAAGAACAGAAGACTTCATCAATGCATAATCTACAGTGAAGAACATCAAAATACGTATACAAGATGTGAGACTTCATAGAAGATGTCATTAGAAAAGAGACAAAATAGAGTAGAAGGAAAGAACGGTTATTTCGGTTGGCTGATACCGGGGACATAATATTAAACGGTGTAAGTTTTCTTCAAAATGTCTTTGGTACGATAAAAAGTATGCTCTCTTAATGTGTTGGGAGATGCCTTCAAGTGAGACGTTAATAAAGAAAATTACAACAAATGTTAAAGAAGCGAAATCTGGTAACCTATCAGTGAGTCAAGAGATTTTCCTTGAAACATTTACGCATTAAATTTAGAAACGAAGACAAAGAACACATATCGAGAGCAGTCTTAGTTCACAGAAATCGTATGTTTTTTAACAGGCAGTTAACGACATGAGATATAAACCAAGATGAGAGCATCAGGTTGTACATTTATTGTGTGGAGGCACAAGGACTAAACCTCAAGACCATAACGGCTATCTCATTCACATGAGAAATTTAAACGTTAGTTATACTTGTGATTTTATAGCTCACGATCAAGAGACGATTCGTCAAGGAATCTTAAATTGCAGAAACAGTCCATAGATCCGGGAGTTGCTACCTAATGATATTAAATTAAATGATATTGGACAAAGTGATGAACCGATAACAATAATAATTAGCGCTGACATATTAGGCAAATTTTTAAGAATGAATCTACACAACTTGGAGTGTGGAATGGCAACAGTTGAGACACAATTAGGCTGGACTCTAACGAGTAAGAAACCTCGTGAAGAAAGCGACCATAGTGATATAGCTCTGATGGTGAAATCGATGTTTGCGCAGGAGGCTGAGATATCTGAGCTGTGGCGTCTAAATATATTGTGGATATGGAGTACGTCTACCCTGGAAGGGAAATTATCCTTCTCTCCCTACTAACAAGGAGTTAGCTCAGAAGAGGCTGCTGACTACAAGGAAGAAATAAAGGATCAAGATCTATATCAAGACTACGGTCAAGCGTTAAAAGAATGACTGAAAGAAGGAATCATTGGGAAGGTGCCTCAATCAGAAATAGATAAGTAGGGTCATTATCTCCGACACAGACAAGTCATGAATGAAAATAGCACAATAAGATTAAGACCAGTATTTGATGCATCTGCAAATGGACTGTCATTGAACTAGTTCTAAAGGTTAGAACCTAATTTAATCAACCTTATACCTGCGATGCTTTTATACTTCAGAGAAAAGAAAATTGGCGTCATCTAAGACATTTGAAAGGTCTTCTTGCAGATAAATATTTCACCTGCAGATTTCTGTGGTGGAACAAGAACAAACCAGAAATCATACAAATCTATCCACACGTCAGAATAGTAATCGGAGTATCTAGAAGCAAGTTATTGTTAGTGTTTGTTATTGAATTATACTTGGAACTTGTTAGTGCAAGAAATGACTTTAAAGATATAAAGGATAATATTGACAAGCGTTTAAAATCCTTTTATGTCGATAAGTGTATTGATCCCGAAGAAATTTAAAAAAATTTTTAAATAAAGCTATCACTCCAATAGCAAACGGAGGTTTTGATTTGACAGGGTCAGAGTACTCGAGGTACGAAAAACCTCATTACCTGACGCCCGTTCTTGGCCTCATGTGGAATAATAGGGATTATGTATGAATGTTGAAACGGTCATTACTGATGAAACCTGTAACAGAGAAGGGTACCAAAAGAGTAACCCTAGCGGCAAGCCACAAGATCTTCAACCCTATAGAGTTCACGTATCCGGTACTATTTCGTCCAAAGCTGTTGCTGCAGAATATAACCAATTTGCATTGGGACACTGAATTTTGCCTTGACGTAGAGAAATAATTTATGGAGTAGCATCAACAGCTAGGATTCTTAGAAGACTTAATGGTCTTTCGATGAATATTTGGTAGCCACCGAGGGAAAAGGAAATTGAACTTTCCTGTGTCCGTTGATGCGAGTCGGCGGACTCACTGACTGACAATTATCTGTACTAATTTATGCGTGGACTCAATCGATGGAAGGTATAAAAATATAATTGGTTGAAGTGAAATTAAAAGTAGCTCCCTCTAAGAATTATTCCACGGCTGGAACTTCTTACCGCGACAGTGGGCACTCGACTTATAAAATTAATTTGTGACGCTCTAAAATATGACCAACCAGAAATACATTTATGGAATGATTCAACGACTGTCTTGTCATGGATGCATCGTCAGGGCCAATGGACAACTTTTGTATGGAACAGGATTCAGGAGATTCGTAGACTAGTTGATCCTACACATTGGCGACATGTTCCATATTTCATAAATCTAGCTGATCTTCCTTCAAGAGGGGGCACCGCCATGCAGCTATTAAAATTAAAATGGTGAGAGGGCCCAGAGTGGCTCAAATATTCTCTCGAAGAGTGGTCTACTGCAGAATATTCAGCTTATGGCACAGAAATATATGTATAACGAGTTAAAAAAGTCAATAGTGAAGATAAAAGCATCAGCAAATGTACAGAGAGTGGAACACAAT